CGTGCGTGCGTATGCATGTGTGCCTAAGTGTGCGTGCGTACGTGCGTGTTGCAACAATCCATTAACATATCACTGAGAACATCACCGGCGGCTCCTGAACGCATATATATATATATATATATGTGTATATATATTTATTTATTTATTTATTTATAATAACTAAATGAATAAATAATTATATAAATAAATATATATATATATAAATATATATATATATATAATTATATTATTTACTCATATATAATACCCGTATACGACAATCTCTGTTTTTGCTGATCAGTTACCGAACATTTGCTGCGATCAGTGCCGCGTGCTACAAGAACATTTTTATTGCCGCCAACCGGGGGAACCGCTTAAAAAAACGGCGCTATAACATTAAACAACCTTCCGAACGGTGTTATTAACGTAAGTCATGATTATCATACGCGAGGACTCTCGTGAGTCCAATATATCTCTTCGGCCGTGTAATGAATCCGTAGCGTAATTGGCAATAAAGAAAAACTTATAAATCTTCCAGAATGCGCCCTGTAATCGTAAGACAACGATAAAACGTAGTCCGCGACACGAACGAGAGAAGGGACGCGAAACCACGGACGCGCGCACTACAAGTATATTACGTTTGCATCGTGCCGCATATAATCAAGAGCGTATTAAGCATACATCAAGTATACTCTTGATACAATACAGATATTCATTCTATACTGGAGTTTCAACATGCTGTGTTTAATAAACCGAGAACACGAATTACGTTTATAATTTCCATTTGAAACACTTGTGAAATTATCACTGGCTATCATTATTACTTCACAACTACCCACGCGCCACTACATGATTCACCACACGTATTAACGCCCACGTATGCACACACACACGCACGCACGCACGCAAACGCCACCGCCACTGCGAACGCACGCACACACACACACAACATGCACATTTGCACACACACACACACACAAACACACACACACACACACACACGACACACACACCCACCCACACACACAGCAAACGGATGCACACACGCGAGGCAACACACGGCACGGTTGGCAGCACGCGTACATGGCGCGCTTCAATCTCTCATTGTCCTACGCTGTATCGCTATCACAGCTCGTGAACACGGACATTGGTCGTACTGCCAGCTCGTCGAAGCGGCGGAAGCAGGCTGCAGCTTCTCGCTCTGCCTGCGGCACGCGCAGCACCTGCGCAGCGCTGAAAAGTTCTCCGTCTTCAGCCGCACGCGCCTCAACCGCCAGCGCGTCACCGGCGTCCGACAGCCGGCGCGCGCACTAGGTACAGCGCCATCTGGCAGACATTATCGTAGACGTAAGCTGAAGGCGTCGTTGGGGCGGCTGAACGGCCGCGTGGGTGCGCCGCCGGCGTCGCCGACGTAGGCGCGAGCAAGCGACGGTCTTTCTTCGCAGACGTGTTCTCTGTAAGACGAGAACAGTGCACCGCGCGGTTAGTTCGGCTGCCACGAATGCAGAGCAGGTGCTGCAATGGTACGTGACCGCACGCGCACAGTACACATAATATACACACGATACGCACACACACAGCACGCACATCAGCAGCGCACGTAGCGCAATATGTGTGCAGCGGCGCATGGTACACATATACCACGTACGCAGCACAAAGCACGCACATCAGCACCACGTACGATATATGTGGGCACGCAGCATGTAACATATACTACACGCGTACGCACGCACACCAGCACGGCAATTTCAGCACGCACGTACGATATATGTGTGCACGCGACATGAGCACATATACACAACTCGTACGCACGCCACAAGCAGCACATCAGCAGACACGTAACGCATACGTGTGGCGGACACGTGACCCGCAACACCCGAACTCCGTGCGCGTATATTTACACGCGGCACAGACGTCACGACAACACGAGCGCACACTGCACGCACCTCACTGCCACACACACGCGCATAATTACACGGTCACGACGGCGACACACACTGTGCGCGCACACCGCCGCCTCGACGCCTGACGGCGGAAGGGGCGCGAGCGACGGAACTTCAACAGCAACAGGTCAAGAGCATCAACATCAAACAAACACACGCGCGCAACAGCGCGCATACGGCGACAGAGCTCGAACATGTCGCTACATTTGGTTCGTGAAGGACGAGCGCATAGTCTTACCTGGGAACTATAGAACCACGCGTCCCGCGCGCCACAATCGTAAACATACTTATTACATTACACTATCTCTAGTAACATACAATAACATACATCCTCCATTCAGCGCTTCCCGTGAGACTCGCTGCGTGTCAATCGCGTCCGCGTATCGACGGCTGTTTATACTAAGTAAAATGCGTGCGGAATCGCACTACCGTTAGTAATCGCTCGTATAACGCCACTATCGCGTCCGTCCGCCAACACCGTCTCGAGGCGAGAGACTTCTATGGACGCCTTGTGTGCTGTTTCGTGCATGGGGACCCTGTCAGCATCACCGGTCTAAATCCGCACCACCAATAGTAGTACGGCGAAACCTTATTTTTTCTCCCTCTCAACACAGAACAACAGCGTTCGTTCAGCCGCGTCCTTTAAGTTAACTCAAATGCGACGTATGCTTACAGGAATTCAGTGCGGAGGGTAGGCCACTTGGCTTGAACTGCAACGCTAGCAGAGCAGCCTGTCATTATAAGGTAGCTGCCGCCTCACAGCGATGCGCTAAAGAGCACACACTACGTGCTAACAAAGACACGCGCAAGGCACCCATCGCACACGCACAGCCTCGCTAGCGCAGACGACGACACACACACGCGTGACAGAAAACTACACGTGCGTCGCAAATACCAGACACGCGGCAAGAGAGCGACCTGGCGCACCCCGCACACGCACGACGCACGTACGCGCGCACCGAGACACACCGACACACAAGACACTACAGACACACACACACACCACACCACACAACACCAGCACACACAAAGTCACACGCGCGCAGCGGCGCGCGCGGGCACACACACACACACACACACGCACATATATATACACACACGCGTACACGCACACGCACACGCATACACGCACGTACAAACCCACGCACACGCATACACGCACGTACAAACACACACACGCACGCACACACCCACGCACACACACACACACGCGACAGGGACGGCGGCGCGCCATCTTACGACTATATCAGTACCCGAGAGAAATTAGCGAACACGCGGCGCGCACGCGGCGTCTGCAACGTAAAGTCATTTAGACTGTTATCGAAAATCGGGTTACGCGACTGCGCGCGCGACCGAATCTCAGTCGATCGTCGACGTCGTCGACTCGCTAGCTGTAATATACCGTCGTCAGGGAACAGCGTGCACCATGCCTCGCCGACCAGGGCGGCAGCGCGCAGCAGCTGGCTCGACTCCCCACCTGCGCTCCCCGCCGCCGGCTTGCCTGCCTTCGTCGGCACGAGGTGAAGGTCGGCGAGGAAGGAGTCGAGGCGATAGCTGCCGACGAATTCCGCCAACGCTTGCTGCATCGCGGCAGCGACCGAACAACCGAACTGTCCGACACTGTCCACCTCTGTCCGCCACTGTTTGTTTGCGAAATGCTAGTTCCTCTTTGGCTTTCTACAACTTTCCTCTACAAACACCTGTCTCCAGCGATGCCGAATCTCGGACGTATTTCTGCAAACATTCTCTTCCCCTATAGTTCACACTCTTCAACGCTCGCCGTCGGCCGAACAAAACTCGCACGTCGGCAAATTTGCGAGCACGCACTCCCGCGTGCATTACCGTCCCTATATACTTTATATCTATAGCTAGAGTCGCTGTCAGAGAGCACACGCCCGTCAGCAGCCGTCTCTTGCGGTAAAAGCAAGATCGCTCCGTATGTCTCACGATCGGCGCCTCAGCATCCACTCGCACTCTCTCAGCATTTCTTCAGCATCACGCGCCGCGTTCCTTCCTCGCTGTGCTTACTCGTCATCCATCGCCGTACCCTCGCAAGAAAACGCGCTAGCGATCACGGCGGGGTCCACGACGAGTCACTTATACACACCAGCGTGGCTTCACCGTCACAGCAGCGCAACGTGCTCTACACAGACGTACAGACTTTTACAACGCACGAGAGTAGCGCAAGAACGACACACGTAGCTACGTCCCCAGCGGACCACCCAACAGACGCTGCGACTCGGCGAAAAAATACCTCCGATTACAAATTAGAAATCTGCGACTAAGGATATAAAGCGGTAACAGGTATTACGTGGGAGACGCGAGCCTGTACAAGAACTGACATCGACGGGGTTTACCTGGCCGGTTTTATATAGGGATACCTGCTGGAACCGATGATGTGGACGCGGCAACGTGGAACGGCTGACGTGGAAGCTAGCTGCACGGATCAATAGAGCTCTATTTCTCTCTCTCACACACACACACACGCGCGCGCTCTCTCTCTCTCACCCTCTTTCACTCTCTCTCCCTCTCCTCCTCTCTCTCCCTCTCGCTCTCTCGCTCTCTTTCTCTTTTTCTCTCTCTCTCTGTCTCTCTCTCCCGTCCTTCTCGCTATCTCTCATTGCACTCTCTATATTCATCTTTTCCTGCTCCTTCCGCTACCCCCGTTTCGCCCACCCTCTCTCTCTCTCTCTCTCCTTCCTTCCCCATTTCTCCATTTGTTATTGCTTTGCGTTCCTACCCCCCCGTTCCGGCTTCCCTACCTTGTTCCTCCCCCCCCCCCCTCTCTCTCTCTCTCTCTCTCTCTC